TTTGCTGGAACAGCGACACTTCACGGGTGATGCGCTATGACTCTGATATTTAAACACCATCTAACATACAGTCAAGACTAAACCCCTTAGCTAGTTTTAAGTTCATAGGGCACCCTTTCATAATATAAAATTGGGAATCTATCTTTTTGTAAGTTAATTATCTGTATTCCCTCTTGATCCCTTATCGTCACCAGGTTCTTCTCCCACTGGAAAAGGGGGACACGTGGGAGTCGGGGATTGTGGAATGTTTTGCCCCATCTAGTGAGTTTTGAGTCAAAAAAGCCTAAGAGCCACTTGTTCAGAGCAGACAGGCTGGGTGTGGGAGGTTGTGAGGCCCATTTTGGGAAAATGCAGGGTTTTGGTGAGAGGGCCCATGGATTCCTTTAAAGCCATGTTGTCAAGGGGCCGATGACCCCGTGTTGCAGCCCCCCTGCACCCGGATTCCCCGGGAGCCCAGGCTGAGCAGCCCAACTCCGTCAGGGCACTGGGGTGGGGCGGATCCCGGGCCCCCGGGCACATCCTGTGGCCAGGAGGGGACCCCCACCTTGTGTCGGGGGCAGAGTTGACCCTGGGATACGGCAGTTCTGGGACAGCGTGGGGGGGGCACTGCGGGACACGTGGAGGTGACCCTCTGCCTGAAAGGCAGACTAGTGCCGACAACGCTAGTTTCTGCTCTGCCCTCCCCGCCAGCGCCTCTCTGGGGGCAGGTTTTCTGGGTCAGGGGTAAATGGCTGGCGAAATAGGCTCGGTCACAAAAGCAAGGGAGTGCCACGCTGTGCCAGAGGCCACTGGTGGGCGAGGGTGGGGGTCGGGTGAGGTTCACACTAGGCCTGGCTGAAGCACCGAAGACGCCCACCCGCTTGGTCCCAGCCTCTCACCGCCTGGACGGTGGAGCGGCTCAGGGCACTACAGACCCCCGACGCTGGAAGCCCAGTTCCACTGTTTACTAGTTCCTGACCCTGGACGATTTCCTTAACCTCAGTTTTCTCGTCGATAATGTAGGCTGTTGGAGGGTTAACTGGGTTAATACGTGTAAAGTGCGCAGCATGGACCCTGGCCCATGGTAAGGGCTTAATAAATGTTAGGTATTATTATTATTGTTATTACTGTTACTAGGTTACACCTGTTGGAGCCTGCCAGCGCGGGTGGGAGAGCACAGAGAAGGGCCACACAGCACAGCCACACAGCTGGTGCACTGCACAACTCAGGGCGCCATTCACACAGTAGTGCCTTCTAGAGTAATGCAGTTCACAGCCTGTGCAGCTGTACACTGGCGCTGGATGCCTTGGGCAGCCCTACTACAGTTTCTGACTAACCGGTGCCACCTGAAGTCGGACCATTTGGGGCAAGGTCTCAGAGAAGATTAACGAAGGAGGCAGTGTGGCTTCTGAGTAGAGCTAAGAAGTCTTGAAGAAGGTGTGACCCGGCCCATGAGAAGGTCACAGGATTGTAGGAGCGAGAGCTGAGATCCTGGCCAAGTCACTCCTTTCTGGGCCAAAGTTTCCCCACGTGTCCAGTGTGGGGGGCTGGGTTAGTTCCGGGACACCACCTCTGACTGATTGGCAGTGGCTAAAGTGAAGAAATCAGAGGCCACTGTGGGCTGGAGGAAGAGCTCTTTAATCGATTAATGATGTCTGCATGAGGCCAGAGAGGGGGAGCAGTGGCACATTTCTGGGCCGCTTGCCCTCCCTCAAGACAAGCCCAGTGGTTGTCAATCCTGGCTGCACCTTAGAATCATCTGAGAAGGTTGAACAGCATTCTGCTTCAGGGGTATGGCCCGGCATCGGTAATTTTTTTTGAAAACTCCCCAGGTGATTCTCATGTGTGGCCAGGTTGAGAACTGCTGGGGTGGATGCTCCTAAGTTCCTCGCAGTCCTGAGCTCTACAACCTCTCGGCATGGTCTATCCATCACGGAGCTTGGAGCTTTGAGCTTTCTTCCAGCAGAAATGACAGGGGAGTTAAAAGGCCCAATTTCCATCAGTCTTATTGCTAGAGGATTTGCTTTTAGGTTGGGAGACAGAAGTTGAGGGCACCGGCTATGAGCAGGGACTGGGGTATCGGGGCGGCCTCTTCTGGGACCAAACTGTGGAGTCCCACTGGGGGAGGTCCCGACTTTGTGTCTGGGGGGCTCACGGGGCTCAGAAAAGCCTGGCCACTGCGCTTCGTGAGGGATGCCCTGTGGCCCCCTCGATTTCTCTCTTAAGCTCCTTTCAGTCCCAGGGAAGCTGAGGGGTTGGGACGATGCAGCGGCCCACTGGGGTCTGCAGGAAATAACAGGCCCCACCTCTGGGCCTCTGGAAGGAGCGCTGGGGGGAGAAGGAAGCAGATGAAAGCTGACCGGGCCGCTGGGCTGGAGAAGGCAGGGCCGGAGCGCCAGGCTCGGAGGTGGTGTGACAGGACCACGGGCAGCCCCGGAGGCCGGCAGCTCCTCCAAATTACAGTCAGGGCCACAAAGACGAGATGTTTCTGGGAGGCCACCCTCCACGGGCCCAGAATCCAGCCAGCTTTCCTCGGCCCCTGCCCTCAGCCCCTCAGGACCCAGCCCTGGGATTCCAGGGCGCAGGTCAGGCCGGGCCTTGCCTCCCACCCGGAGCCAGATAGAAGCAATCAAATAACATCGAATTCGGTAATATTTTAAAATAAGCTTTATTTAGATTTTTTTTTTTTATATTTTATATTTGCATCCATGCCTTCGAGAAACCTTTCCCACGGGAAAGGTTATTTTCATCTAATGTTACCCATAACTCATTCGCTATTTGACGTAGTTCTCTTAAATAAATCATCCTTAGTAACTCTTAGAATTATCTCCTAATTTACAAAAACTGAAATGAGAAGGAACTCCTAAATCCTTACCAGGAGTGGCTGCGATCTTATTTTCTCATAAGTAAAGGGAAAACAATAAAAACCAACCAAAAGAAAAAAGAAATTCATGGGGGAGAAAAGTATTTTCTAAAAATCTCTCTCTGTAGAGCGAGATGCCAGCTCTGGCCGCTCTCCCGCACAGCCAGGCTCGGGTCAACAGCTTAGCCGAAGACCGCCAGAGAGGTCCTTACGAGGTACCCTGCCTGCTCCGTCCCAACCCCCACCAGGCAGGAGGAAAGGGGACACCCTTGGGGCTTTTCTGTTTGTTTGAGAGATTTGGGACAAAATATCCTATCCATCCTGATAGAGATGCTCCAGCATTTTAAAATCCCCTTGTTTCTTTGTAAGAGCTGAAAATGTTACTTGTTAGCAGAAAGCGCAACTATTGTTCAGAGGGCGTGTCAGTGGAGCTGCATTAGCGGTTAAGGTGGAGCAGAGCGGGTTCACAGGTGAGAGGGAACGTCGCTTTGGGCCGTGGGAGGTGCATGTGGTCTCCATGGCCTGGTGTTACCATGCACACGGTGCCTTTGCTGGTGAAGCCGCCCTGGGGCCAAACCTGCTCCCCCAATGGGCAGAGCTTCCTGCCAGCCCTTCTCTCCTGGGGTGAGCGGGCTCAGGCTGCTATGACAAGTGGGAGGACAGGGCCCGAGGGATCCCGAGAGATTCTGTTCAGCGCGGCTGGGGGAACCAACCAGAATGAGGAGGGCAGAGGCTCCGGTGCTGGACCCTGTGTGCCTAACAGCCCTCCCCTTGAGACGGGCGCCTCCCCCAGTGACACCTGCCTGGCCACCGTGCAGAATGAACCAAGGACGAGAAAGACACAGCTGCAGGGAGGAACGTCTGCCGCTCAAGGATCTGTGAGGAACCGACTGGGGCCCAGGGTCCCTGCGGTCGTACCCTGTGGTCATGCGGCTGGCTGTCTCCATGTCTAAACTCTCTCAAAAGACAGACCCAAGAGAAAGTGACCACTGCAGTAGGCGCTCTGCTCACGGAGGTCAGTGTTCTGTATTTCAGATCAATAAATAGATAGAGAAAGGCCTGGAGAGAGCTGGGTGGGAGGAAGGGGGCGCGCGCTTCCATGCAGGGCGCAAGGATGCGGGAGAGAGAGGAAAGAACGGAGAGAAGCAAGCTCTGGAGTCCAACGGTCCCTGGTCCGAGTCACCCTAACTCTACCTTGCACAGTGTGGCAGCAGCACAGTAATAAAACAGACAAGTCGACAGAGACACCAGCTCCCACCCGCCCCGTGGAAAAATAGACATTCCAATATTTATGTCATAATTTAGATAGAATAAGTCTTTTGCATTTGTGCAAATAAATTAAATGGAACAATTTTCTTTTTTTCCATAAAGAAATGGCAACGCAATTTAAAAACTGGCAGGCCCTTAAAAAGAGCCCGTTTGACCTCTGACAAACCGAGCCCAGAGGAGGACCCCCTGGTCGGGTTCGCGAGCCTCTGCGGAGGGCAGACCTTACCCTGATGAGGATGGCGTTTTGGAGTTAAAGTGACTTGGCCGCGCCCCAGAGCAGGGTCTGGTCCCACACGTTCACACCGGGGTGGGGATGGGGGGTGGACATCAAAAACAGACCACATCCTCGGGGAGACGGGCTCCAGAAGTAGCAGTTTGGACAAGGGACATTTACAAGCACGGAGTGCACAATAGTTTTGTTATTTACAAATACACAGCAGTCCTTCAAGTTTTCAAGTTTCATAAAAAGGAAGGGGGTGCGGGGACGGGGGGAAACAAAACAACCCAACGAACCAAACAAAAAGAAAAGAAAAACATAGAAAAAAAACCAAAAACAGAAACCCAGATTAACAACACAACTGCATCGCTCCAAAGACGACAGAGTTGACAGGTTCACACACGTTTGTAGTATGTACATCAATTACAGAGGTGGCGGCGCAGGGGGCGGGGTCACACGTGCGTTGGCGCCTGGCCACACCCAGCACCCACGTGGGCGAGAGCTCGCGGGCACACGCACCGCCACGCACGCCCAGACGCGCACCCCCCCACGCTCGCTCGCACGCACGCACGCACGCACGTCCACACGCACAGACACGCCTGCCGGGCCGCAGGCGAAGGGAGGCGGGTCACCAGTCCGCGTCCTCCTCTATGTAATAATCGGGGGCGGTACCATCAAAGAGGCCGGGGTCGAGGGACTTCCGCTGCTTCCCTCTGGCGAAGACGCGCGAGATGGAGCCGAATCCCATCTTCTCTTTCTTCTTTTTCCGTTTTTGGTCTTCAAGATCCTCTAGTGACTGCAGAGTCGGGGCCACGTGGCGGAGGGGGAGGGGAGAAGAAGAAAGCTAATCTGAGCTGGGCGCAGAGGACAGTGCTGGGTGGAGGGGCGGGGTGGCCAGGGCTGAGGGACTGGCCCCCAGTGATTACGAATGCCAGAACCTCTCGGGGACACCAAAAGGACCCACCCAAGACTGCCATGGGGATGCCAGTGAGGAGAGAAACACTGAGAACAGGGCCTGGCGCATGAGCATCCAATGACCTTTAGCAGCTGGGGGTGTTTGTACTACTATCTTTTAAATTCGGTTTGCGCACAGCCTTCCAGCGCTTCTTGACGGCTGGCAGGCACATGTCCACCCTCTCAGACAGGCCGGGCCAGAGGCTCGTCTGCAGGGTCACTGCAGCAAGCGCACAAGTACCCTGTGAAAAAGGCCCCGTGGAAAAGGGGCCCCGGGAGAGTCCAGAAATCGAGCAAGTAGGAAACTTGAGCTTTATGTCAGCCAAGGGCAAGGACCTCAAGGCCCTGGGCAAGAAGCAGGACTGGCCACGGGAGAGCCCCGAGGTTGGGGCTTGGTTCCAGTCCTGATTACGTTACTACCCATGGAAGCCTGGAGAGCCCCCAGCTTCTCTGAGCCTAGTTTTCTCATCTGTGATGTGGGGATAACGATGATGATGATGATGATGATATCCCCCTGACTCGGGATAACTACACAGATTAGGGGGTGGTGGCTGCAGGAGAGCTTTGCAAACTGTCAAGTGCTTTAAACAAACACGGGGTGGCATTACCCGTCAAAAAGGTGGAGGGTTAGACTAGACTGATGTTTTCCAAAACACATCAGAATTACCTGAATTCCAGGCCTCAACCCACACATGGTGGACCAGAATCTCCAGGGGTAATGTGCCAGGACCCGGGTGCAGAGGAGCAGTGCTTAGATCATGTGGGAGCCCCGCGTCTAGAGAGCTGATCTCAGAGACCCCTTCTGACCCTCAAATTCAGGTTGTTTCCCCTGCTGCCGCCCCCTCGTCACTCTGATGATAAAGTACTGAAATGTTTAAAATGAATTTTTGAGAGTTTCCTGCAGCAGGGGCCCAAAGAGCCCATGGCCTGGGTCATTGGCCTGTGGCTCTTGGGAGAAGCCACTCACCAGGGCAGCAGGACAGAAGATGTGTGATGCACTCAGTGGGTCCACAGGTCGGGAGGACGACATGGAAAGGCAGACCCAGCTGCTGAGCCTGGCCCAGGCACCAACCTATGTGGGACTGGGTAATGGCTTAACTCCTCTCTGCCTTGGATGCCCGAGTATGGAAGGGGGGCTGCCGAGGGCCCAGGGGAACAAGGGGCGAAGTCATGGCCAAGCTGGGGTGGAGGGAGGACCCGAGTAGCCAGGGAAAGCACACCTACCTGTACAATAGGGTTGTGCAGGTTCTTCTGAACCGGGCCGGGACTGTCGCCCTGTAGCCAAAGGAGAGGAGGAAGATGAAACAGCAGAGACACATGACACTTGAGAGCAGGGCTGGCCCATGGGGTCTTCCGTGGAGGGAAGCCATTCCTTAGGGACCACCCCACCTCTGTGGTGGGGAACCCACCCCCCAGCCCTGAAGCACTCCCACATGGCTCAGGGGTGGTGCCTGCACCAGGGGTCCTGGCCAGGCGCCCTGGGGTGCTCTCCTGCCTGCTCTGCCCTCTTGACCCCAACACCCTCTGACTAACAAAGCAGTCACTCAAAGGCTTCTAAGTTCCTGTCCCAGTTGGTCCATCGTGTTAGAACTGGAGGTTGGTTATACTCGGTGCTTTTCATAAAGAAATATAATTTTATATAAAACACAAAAATAAAAGAATTTCAGGGGAGGGGATTTGGGAGATCTGTGGCCTGTAACTTCCCCCACAAACACCACAGTGAATCTCTTATGGGGGGCAGCCTCATTTACGGATACAAGAGAGGCTCTGGGCAGTACGACATCATGGAGCTCATTAAAGCAGGGCGACAACTCAGATTCAGAACTCTCTGGTTCCCCCTGGTCCAGGGCTCCTCCCGGTGGCCGTACAAAGCCTCCCCCCTACATCCCAGGATCAGCTGGCCCTGCCTGGGGCAGACGTTATTTGCATCACAAGTCATTACTAGGGAGACCCCCTGGTGGTTGTTTCCAGAATTGCGGGCAAAATGCCCATGAAACATTGCGTCACTTGGGCGAACATCCATCAACTTCCTCCAGCCTCTCTGTGCTGAGACTATGCATCTGCTCTAAATTAGTGGCCAGTACATGAGGGGATGGCGGGGGCGGGGGGGTCCCTAGTCCAGACTGGGCCGTTCTTGCTGGTGGCAGGTCAAATGCCTGAGACCCGAGGGTTCCCTGGAGTTCCCTTCAGGGTCTCCTGGCTCAGCCGTGTGCACATCTGTCGAGCTGTGGGGTGAAGGTGGTTGAGGGCAGGCAGATCGGACAAATGGTAGTTTAGTCTGTGGTCCCATCTCAAGGTTGCAAACAGAACTCACTGGCAGGCAGCTAAGATAGGTGTACCCTGCGTAGGGCCACCTTTGCCAAACTTATGGGGAAGAGAATGAGGCCGAGCTGGGCAAAACGCTGGCCCGTGCCAAATGCACTTCAAGAGACTCTTTCTGCAGAATCGATTTCCCAGCAGCATTTCGGCTGTCACAGCCCCCTTGGGTCCACCGTGAGAAGACACAAACATATGGCCCGTGGGAAGGTGTTCTCGTCTGGGGCGTGCACGGAGACCCGGGGTGCCAGGCTCGTGCTGTGGGCGTGAAGGCACTGCTGGCTGTGGGTAGAAGCCATGGTCCCTCAGAACTAGAGAACAGGTGCCAGAGGCCCTCCAGGGCTCACCTTCCTTGTCTTGGTTCTGTCAGTCAAGATAGCCTTTGTCACCAGGGTCCTCTCCTGGGGACAAGGGTAGAACCCACTGCTTTCTTAAAGCCCCAGTTAAAACAGGACTCCAGCGCTCAGCGGGGCCCCAGCCTGCAAGCGACCTGCTCCTGGTCCTGACGTGAGCGGGCCCTGCTGCCCGTCCGCAGCTGAGGCAGCTTACGCTACATTTAGTCTTAGCTATTTCTGTAAGCTCTGCATTGTCACTGTAGATGGAAACATTGCTTCCATTATGATTACTTGTATATAGAAAAGTTACTGTTTTTTATAAATTGATTTTCAGCCAGTACCGTTATATACCAGCTTATTATTAGATCTAAGAGCTTTTCCAAGTTACTCTCTTGAGTTTTCCAGGTAGATAATTATGTCCTCAGCACGTGACGGTCAGCCTGTCTTTCCTTCCCACTATCTTCACCTCATTCCTTTTTTGCTGTCTGTCTTGCTGGTTGATAAAGCAACAGTCATGGAGGTTTTGAGAAAGCCTTTCCCTGCTTTTTGAGCCCTAACCCTACTGTGTTCTCTGTCTTCAGGACATGGCAGGGGAGCCCTCCGTATTACGAACCGTGTGAGGGAACAAAAATGACAAGTGGCCCCCACACCCTGGCCCCAGTGTTTCATGTCAGAGCCTCCACAGGGCGCCCTCCTGTCCCACTGACATTCACCCACTCACTCCTCGGGAGCCTGTCTCCCCTACTCATCATCGAGTTAGGTGACCAGGGACCTGTGCCTCTTGGTGGCTGGCACCCAGTATGCAATCAGAAAACGTTTGACTAAATAAGCAAAGCGAAAAACTTAGAACGAATTCACAGGATGTCTCTCCAGAGGCAGTATGTGCCAAAGCTCCTGGAAATTCAGAAAACTCCGGCTCTTCCCTGGACGGAGGATGAGAGCTGACTCTAAGGGAAGTGCAGGGGTGCTGGCGAGGCCCGGCTCCGGAGGGCGAGGTCTGGGAGGAGAAGCCCACCAGAGGGAACCCTGGGCTGCTCAGACCCCGTGGCCGACCCAGGCCCGCCTTCCTCTGGACTTTCCTTGCCCTCCCGGACACAAGGAGCACACGGGCCTCATTTCTTTCTCTCCCCACATCCATCTCTTCTTGCAAAAGGAGAGAACAGAACAGGAAATGCCTTCGCCAGAGTGCTCCCTGGGTGGACGAGAGGAAACAGCAGGTGCGTCTTCACCCCTCCACCCCCCGCTTCGGGGTCCGGGCAGGGCCCAGGGCCCCGGCCCAGCGGCTGCTGGCCTTACGTTGCAGAGGGAGTGTGTCCGGTGTCGAGGGGAGTTGATGTCGCTTGGCGTGGATGACCGGTCGCCTTCAGCGGCAGATGCATCGGAGATGACAGAGGGCTGCCGGGAGTGGCAGGGGCTCACCCTGACCGCTGGAAAGCAGGGACAGCTGGTGAGTGAGGGATGGAGAGAATGTCCTCGCCTTCACTGCCTTTAGATGACTCCACCCAATGCCCCCGTTATACAGGTGAGAACACTGAGATGGTGAGAAGAGAAGAGACTAGCCCAGCTCTCTGCCCCTCTGTTCCACGGCCCCATATGCCACCAGAGAGCAGCCGGCAAGAACAATCTCCCATAGCCTCTGGATGCAATTAGGCCTCCTCCTAAGCAGGGTGAAGGAGAAGATGATGCAGAAGTTTCCAGGAACCCCAGTGACTGTCCTCACAATGCTCCCAGCGCCTGGATGTTCCCTTGACCGGGTTCCATCCTAACCACTGGTCAAAGCAGCTTCCCAGGCAAGAAGCCTAGAGGCCACCACCGGCTCTCTTTCCCCCACACCCCACACCCATCCACCAGCAACGCCTCCATACGCAACTCCCAATGTGTCCACTTCTCTCCAACCCCACTGCCACCACCTGAGCCCAGGCCACCACCGTCTCGCCTGGAAGATCATGGCGTCCACCAGTGGGCCTCCCTGCCCCCACTCCTCATATGGCAGCGAGGGCTAGCCATCTGGTCACCCCGGGGGGGAAAAAACGAATGCTCCTCCTCCTGGTCACTGAGGCCCAGTGGGATGTGGCCCTGCCCAGCCACCAGCCTCAGCTGGTCCCCTGTCACTGTGCTGGAGTCACACCAGTCTTGTGACAGCACTGACACACCCCATGTCTCTCCCGCCTCGGCCTGTGCTGGCCCTGCTGCCCACTGAGTGCATCTCATTGTTCGGGTCTCAGGCTGTCCCGAGGCCTCCCCCAGATCAGCTCTCCCCACTGTCTTTTCCCCATCAAAGTGCCTGTTTTCCATTGATTTCTCTCCCTGCCCCAATTACAGTCTGTCATCATGCTATGTGTCAGCCTATTTACAAGTGTGCTGTCTGACTTCACACCTACAATGTCAGCTCCGTGTGGGAGGCACCCCAGGGGTTCTATCCATGCTGGACCCCGAGCTCATGGTGCTGGCACACAGTAGGTGCTGGAGAAATAGTCATCGAATGGAAGGCTCGGCTGGGAAGGCACAGCCCGGAAGCCCACCTGAGGCCCCCAGCAGAACACTTTCCTGTCTGCAGATGCCGATGGGTGGTGGATGGAGAAAATCCCTACTGTTCAACACGACTGACGGAGGGCCTACTGTGTGCAGGCAGCATGCGATCAGGTGGGGTGATATTACCAAGACAATCCTTGTCCCCAGTGGCCCTATGGTCTACTGGGGAGGTTGTGGGGGTGGGGGTGGTGGCTTTGCAGTTGGGGCTTGGGTTCTCAGCTCAGTGAGGGCGGGTCCCAAGGGCTCTGAAGGCCAGCTGCCTGTCCCCAACGTGCACCTGCTATGCAGCGGCAGCCACGCACAGGAGGGCAAAGGAATGGAACTAGAGGGCCACATATGTGCAGAGGAGTTTGGGGCTTGTCCCGTGGGCAGAAACTCAGATGCTGCCTGGAGGCCAGGCCCCTCCTCCCCCTCAGAGGTCAGGTGGGAACACCTGTGACATTTATGTCCGCCTCTCCTGGACATCCTGTGATTGGGTGGAGTTGTCAATCACGGAGCTCCACTGCCTCCCCTGACAAAGGCTGCCCATGTGACCCAGGCTGGCCAATCAGCATACCCAACCCCTTGGTCCAGGGATGGGCATGTGACCTGGGCTGGCCAATCAGGATCCACCCATGGGATTTGCTATGGACACAGAGAAAGAGAGTTTCTTTTCCTCAAGACTTTTGAGCTGCAAGGACCTTAAAAGCCTGAAACTGCTGGGGACTGGTTTGCTGCCTCACAGGAAGAGCGCCTCAAGAGGAGGCCAAATGGAGGCAGGCAGAGCTGAGAGATGGAGAGATGGTTAGACAGACCCAGATACTGTCTGAGCCTCGGGGTCCAGCCAAGCCTGAGGTCCATCTCTTAGACTCCTCAGTCATGTGAGCCCACAGCCTCTGCCCCACGCCCCCTCTGCTGCTACAGTGTGACCCACGCCCCCTCCTGCTCCAGTGTGACCCACACCCCCTCCTGCTACAGTGTGATCCACATCCCCCACTGCTGCTACAGTGTGACCCATACCCCCTCCACTGTTACAGTGGGACCCACACCCCCTCCTGCTACAGTGTGACCCACACCCCCTCCTGCTACAGTGTGACCCACACCCCCTCCTGCTACAGTGTGATCCACATCCCCCACTGCTGCTACAGTGTGACCCACGCCCCCTCCTCTGCTACAGTGTGACCCACACCCCCCTCCTGCTACAGTGTGACCCATACCCCCTCCACTGTTACAGTGGGACCCATGCCCCCTCTGCTGCTACAGTGTGACCCACATCCCCCACTGCTGCTACAGTGTGACCCACATCCCCCTCCTGCTACAGTGTGACCCATACCCCCTCCGCTGCTATAGTGTGATCCATACCCCCTCCTGCTACAGTGTGACCCACATCCCCCCTCCTGCTACAGTGTGACCCATACCCCCTCCGCTGCTATAGTGGGACCCATACCCCCTCCACTGCCACAGTGGGAAGAAAGAGGCAGCCCCCCCCCATGGGGTGGCACGCTCGTGGCTGGGGCAGCACTCACCTTGCCGGTCAGCGGGGTGGGGGGGATGCGAGTGGTAGAGAGTCTGCTGGCTCTGCCGGATGGCTGCCGTCAGCGGGAGGTCCGCCTGTACCACCCACTCCTGGTTGCCGTTGAGCACCGTCTCGCCCGGCATGGCGAGGGAATGCCGCTTGGGGACGTCCTTGGTCAGTGTGGCTAAGGACTGCTTGGCCTGGAGAGAGAGCCGGGGACAGGAAAAGGATCACATGATGGAGAGGCCCTTCTGGCCTGCTGTGCGGCCATCACCCTGCATCGTGAGAAAGGCACGAATCTGACCTCTGGCTCTGCAGGCCTCCCCCGAGGGCCCACTTTGGAGTTACCCCTTAGTTCCAGCCAACACAAAGTGAGATCAGAAATACAGAAAGGAACCAGGGATGCACTTATGACCCATTCTTTCGGGTTCTCCAAGGACCAGCTGGGATTTGAAGGAGATGGTAAGAAAATGGTGCTTTGGCTTCCATCACCTCAACTCCTCAATTCAACCTGCGATTGCCCCCAAGAGGCACCATACTGTGCAGGCTGGGGACAGGCAATCCTCCACGCGGCTCCCCATCACACGATGAGAATGAGTGGGCGCGAGGAAGCCAGGGACAGGGGTGGGGTGAAAGTCAGCCAGCTCCTCCTTTCTCCGTCTGGCGTTTGAGCTCTCTGCTTTGGGACATCTCCCCCCAGGGTATGTAGGTTTTATTAGAAGCGATCTCAAATTATTTTGGCAGAAAAGGGACACATATTAGAAATGTATGAATGCATGTTCTTTTTATCACAGTCAATTTCTACTTCCCACGCAGCTCCCCAGGCTCGGGCTAGGACAGAGGGAGATGCCCAAGGGTCTTGCACTGAGATCTCCGGTGAATCTGACTCCTCAGGGGGTCGCTACAGATGGCAGAGCCACCGCGACTGCTGGCTTTGCCCCCCATATGAACACAGGTAAAATGAAAAACCCTCATCTCATCTCTCCTAGCTCCAGCACATTCTATACCTTGCTCAAAGCCCCAGGCTCTTCCTGGCAGAGCAGGGGCTCTTGAGAAAGATTCCAGCTGATAAACGGACAGTCCTTGGCCTAATGCCTGATATACACTCATCATATTGACGAGCTATGTTATCTTAGACTAGTCACTGCCTTCTCTGAGCCTCAGTTTCCCCATCTGTATAATGAAAGGCCTTTAGGGCTCCTGAAGCTCAGACCCCCCAGGAGTCTGTGAAATCACTCCCCTTCCACCACCAGCCCCCAGAGAATGTAAATCCATACAGCAGAGGTGGGGGAGAGGGAGGTGTCAGTAGCTGGGTAATAACCTCCCCCAGCTTAGAAAACCCTCATGTACTCAGTGCAACAGCCCTAGGTCTCAAGTAGGGAGTGTGGGATTCTCTGTGCTCGACAGAGGAGAAACCAGAAGATCAGAGAGGTTAAGCAGTTTCCCCAAAAGTGCACAGCAGGCACAACATCCAAGTTGGGCCCCAAGCATGGGTCCCTGACTATGAGCCCCACCCAAGTGGGTTCCATGGTGCCCATGCTCCTCTGGGGCAAGGAAACACCTGGCATGAGTGATACAGACCCTGAGTCCATGAGGCAGAGAATGGGGGTGTGTCTGGTCACCACAGAATCCCCACTCCCTGGCGTGGGGCTGGGCACACCCAGTGAAGCACTCAGTGGACATCTGCAGAGTAAATGGGAGCGGGCCTCTGCTGTCTGGGCAGATGGCCCCGGGAACCAGTCTGTTATGTGAGAGCAATGCGGCGACCCCTCTGCTGAAGGAGGAGCGAGGCTGGGTGTCTTTGCCACGTGCTGGCAGCAGGCCCAACATCACAGACTCATGGTCCCTGGGCCACCGCGCCTCACTCAGGATCACATCTGCTTTCCCCTCCGGGTGCACGAGCATCTCCTGGCCCTCATCCTGAACCACTCCATGTGGGCGGCTGCTTCTTGGGGGGGCACCCCTCTGCCTTGCTTCCTCCTGCCCAGTCCGTCATGGGTGCCTGTAAGGTGGGCTCAGGGGAGAGAAATGAGCACCCAGGCAGGTCTGCCATCCTGGGGTAATTTAACCCTCGGCTCTGCCCTCTTGCAAACATTCCCAGCCACATACACAGAAAGCACAGGAAGGTCCGAGCCGCCCCTGAAACAAGCTGTCGTTTAAGGCTGCACAGAAAGAGGCCTGGGCAGGGCCACTCTCCTGTCCCCACCCGGCTGTCTTCTCCCAGGTGGGGCCTCACCTGTCAGGGCCTGGGAGTGGCACCTTCTGACTCAGCAGGTAGCCTGACATCCTTGCTACCTGACAAGGGGGAGGTCCCCTATGGAGATTCCTGCAGGCTGCGGGCGTCTACCTGTGAGTCTGAAGCAGAGGAACCTCTCCACTGTCCACCCTGCCTGCTTGTGACCTGAAACCTCGAAGGCAGAGCAACAAGAGCGCCGTGAACTGCAGACAAGGTGTGTAAAGTCTGAATTAAAACACACACACACACATGCACATGCATACACATGCTCCATCATCTCCCTGTGGCAATCTCTGAGACTTCTCTGACGAATCTCTTGCACTAAATGCAGTTTAATGCTGGGAGAGACCCCGGAGCTCTGACGGCCTCTTCTCTCCCAGCCTCCGCCCCTTCCTGAGCCTCTGAACCCAGAGCTTCGGGCTCCTGGGAATTGGTAAGTTGGCTCAAACCCCCCCATGTGACAAAAGTCAGACAGAACTGGGTTCAAACTCCACTGTTACTAGTTAACTCTGTGTGATCCTGAGCAAGTCACTCCAGCAAGTTAGCAACTGTTATTCTGACAGTTTCTCCCTCACAAGTCAGTCAGATGAGGAGTAATTCACACGAAGGCCCAGGACACTGTCGGCCTGTTGTCACGCTCAACAAGGAGCAGCCTCGGTGGCTGAGTCAGGATTATATATGGCCTCCCTGAGATGGGGCGCTAAGACCCCGGAGGCAGGCAGAGGCGAGCTGTGCGAGGCCCTGCCCTTGCCCCGCTCTGGGTATCCCTGACGAAGGCTCCTGACGGCCCGGCCCGGGGAGGCCGCCGATCTGGAGGCCACAGTATTTCCCCGTTAGAGAGCGCCTGGCCAGGAGCGGCGCTGCGAGTGCTGCCGAACGGAACCCCTGGCAATTCCGGGGATGGCTGCCGGTCTTGGAAGGGCTGCCCGGCCACAGGATGGAGGGTCCCGGGCAGGAACCTTGCACACAGACACAAGGAGGTGCGTGCGCGCCTGGACTCCAGGTGCACGGATGTGGCGTCTGCACCAAACGGGCATCCCACTGGCTACAAATGAACTTGACCACCCTCTTTCTGGGCTGAATACCGGCCAGGACCTTTTCTCCGAGCTCAGGGTGGCCGGCCCAGCATGGAGGTGGAGCACGAGCTGATGAGGCAAATACGGGCTGCACGCGACCTCCAACCACCGTAGGCTCGGGGGTGGAGGGGAGGCTCCTGCGGGACAACGGGCTCGGCGGGTCCTGACCTCACGGGTGGCGGCCAGGGGCCCGAGCTCAGGCCTGGTGCTCGGAGCAGGCTGTGGGCAAGGGCTGGTCCTGCTGGTCCAGGACGGCGATGGTCTCGGCTGGGAGGTGGCGGCTGCGTGGCGGGCTGGTTTCCCCAGAGAGAGGGAAGGGGTGGTGCCAACTCAGGGCACGGCTTTTACAAAAGGGACTGAGACCATCCTTGTGGTCCCCCTGGTGCTTGGTCCTGCCTCTCACGCATCCCCCACCGTGCCTGACTCGCACGTGGGCCCGTGGTGGCTGGCATTTTTACAGACGAGGAAACTGAGGCCCAGGCAGGTTAAAAGCGACTTGCTCAAGGTCACACAATGACCGACTAGTGGAACGGGCCCGAGAATCCATGCCTTCGTCCTGGTGCGGGCCGAGGACAGGATGGGTGTAGGTCTAAACATCAGGAAACAACAGCTAACGTTCATTGACCATCTGTAGCTTACCCGCCCCGATCCACCACCACCTCACTGCTTTTCACATTCACCCGGAAGGAAGGTCTTATCCCGATTTTATACACAAGGAAACTGCGGCTCAGAAAGGTTAAGTCCCTTGTCTAAGGTTTCACAGCCAGAAAAATGGCAGGACCGAAACTGGGACTCTGGTAGAACTGAGTGGCCAGGGCACAGACAGACGCAGAAACAAGAGAATCGCACGCTCGATTCTTGAGAAGCATCTTGCCGAGGAGGGGTCCTCAGCCTGGGCGAACTCCCCCTCAGGAATACCTGGCAATGTCTGGAGACTTCTGGGCCCTCTCAGCTGGGAGGTGCTCCCGGCCTCCAGCGGGTGGAGGCCAGGGATGCTCCTCCACGTCCTGCGGCGCACAGGACGGCCCCACATCAGACACTTGTTCAGCCCCCAACATCAGGAGCGTGGAGCGGGGAAAGCCCTGCTTACAGAGCGCACGCTGAACTCTAGAACCGCTTCGTTCTGAAGCAGCAGCACAGATGGAAGACAAGGGCAAGAAGCGGCTCCAGGGACAGGCTGGCGCCTGAGGGAGGCCCAGGATCCCAGGGGCCGCAGCCCGTCTCCCAGCCCTGCATGTGGCGGGCAGGCCCGTGGGGGAGGCTGAGGGACGAGCAATGGCAGGGAGGGGAGGGGCCTCCCTCGGGCACCGTCTGGACGCCCTTTCAAAGGCCTCCCAGTGGAGCCATGGCATCCCGGGCACAGGGACTGCCCCATCCCAGCCTGCCCTCTCCACTCGCTGGGCAGCTCTGGGTGAGGCCCCGCACTCTGAGCCTGGCTCCCCCTCTGTGAAATGGGCACGTTCAGGACATACATGTCACGGGAGTGACTGACTGCCGACAGATACGGGTTTCTTTGGGGGGTGACGACACTGTTCTGGAATCAGATCATGGTGATGGTTGCACAACTTTGTGCACACACTGAAAGCCAGTGAATCGTACGTCTTAAAAGGGGGTGTTTTAGGGTATGTGGGTTATGTCTCCATAAAACAATATAGTGAAAAACATATACGCACACCCCACAGGGTGGTCCCACGGGGCCAGCGTGGCTGCAGAGGCGAAACTGCTCCATGAGCAGCAAGGCCTGGATTGGCCAGGAGCTGCCATCAGGAAACGTCCCCTCCCCAAGGGCGGTGGCTTGGCGGGGCCTCGGTGCCCCCTCACCAGCACCAGGAGAGGCCTCTGCTGCTGGACAGCCCAGGAACTTGGCTCTCGTTTGGTCTCGGAGCCCTGGAGGCCTCTGGGTCGTGAGGTTCTGTGGACGGTGGCTGAGGGAGGGGAGCTCCCATCAGGTGGACGCCCAGCAACACTGGGACTGGTACGGCTCTCAGGAAGCCCGTTCTGCCTGCCTCCGTGCCCTGGGCAGACACGGCCTGTGCTGCTGCGACAAACAAACCCATCCCCCTGAGCTGCCGACGTTCACCTGATGCTCACACGAGCAGAGCAGTGAGGCCTTCCAGGAGAAGGAGGCAGGAAGCTGGGATTCGTTAGCCAGAACGGAAGCAGGCTGAGGGTCTGGGCATGGAGAGGGTGAGAGGGGAGGTGAGCTGGCTCCCAGTCCTAAAGACCCCGGAATCCCCAGGAGGCTGGAGGCCAGGGCTCCAAGGCCAGGGAGACACCTCTGTCCGTGCACGGGGCACTGGAAGGCCCGGGAGAACAGGCCCTCGCCCCACCCTGCACCTCCGCCCAGGCCTGCAGCCCGGGAGCTCTCTGTCTGGGCTGCAGCAGGCTCTGCCCGCCCCAACGGTGCAAGACCTCCGCTCCTTCCTGCCTGCAGCTCCTACCACTAGGGGTCAGCCCTGGACAAGGAGACCCAGGCGGCAGAGCTTGGCCCTGGTCCTGGATCCTGACCTGCCCCCAGGGGGGTCTGGTCCTGAAGGAAGTGATGGTAGAAAACCTTCGTGTGGTCACATCATCGCTCATCATGAACAGGCGCCATGCTAAGCGCTCCCCCTGCATTATTTCACTGACATCCTCACAAGAGCCCTATGGGGTTTATGCAATCACCCTGTTGAGACTTGATGGAACTGAGGCCCAGAGAGGTGAAGGGGCCTGCCCAAGGTCACACAGCTAGGAAGTGATGGGGGCTGGATTTGAACCCAGAACTGGGGGCTGTCACCACATGGTTAGCCCGCAGCAGCGCTCTACGAGCCATGGGGGTCTCCCCATTCCGTGGGGGGTCCCTGTACACTCTCCTCCCAGCTGCTGAATCCCCGGTGGTTTCAGAGCCCCTTTAAGCCAGGAGGTCTCTGGAGGTACCCATCCACCTTGTGGGGAAGGCACAGTGGGGTCAGACCCTCACCCCCACCCCACTTCCAGATAAACGGCACTGAAGCCCAGAGAAGTTCAGTGAGCGGCCCAAGGTCACACAGGGGCAGGAAGAACAGAACGCCAGGGTTCCGGACCTCGGTGCTCACTGTAGGACCGGACACAGCCCTGGGCTCTGACCCCACACGTGAGCTGTACACTCTGCAGAAAACACAGCGTTTGTAAGTTTTTCAAAGTTTCTTTTGGATTAGAAAAAAATAACATTTTTTTCCTTGACAATCCAAATAAGACATTTTCACTCCAGATGAAAATAGGGCAAAAAAAAAAAAAAAGGAAATAAAAGTCACTTGTAATCCTACTGCCCAGAGATAACCAGTGTTAATTTTTTGTTGTATTTTCTCCCAATGTTTTCCTAAACAAATATGTACATTTTAAACAAAAATGGGCATCTATTATTATTTTTTTACAGTCCCCTGGGAGTGGGAAGAGCGGATGGTCAGCCAGCATCCCTGCTCCCGGCCCCGGGTGGGCGGATGACAGGCTGTCCCCGGCTCGGGGTGGATGTGGAAGGGAGCTGACGGAGTACCACAGACCTCGCCTGGCCTGTCGCTCCTCCATCCTGCTCTGCCAGCCCCGCTCCCTCCACGACTCGGGGGTGAACACACGCCCTGTCCCCCGGCACAGGCTTCCAGCCGGTGCCCGGACCCGCTCTGGGCCTGGGAAGGGGTGGGGTGGGGTCTCACCATGGCCAGCTCGGCCTCCAGCTCCTTCATGCGGTTGTCCTTGAGGTCCAGCTGGGAGCGCAGCGCTGTGGCGTGGTCGGTGGCCTCCTTGGCCTGGCGCCGCAGCTCCCACTTCTCGCGCTCCAGCAGGTCCTTCTCCTTGGCCAGGGCTTTCACGGCATCCTCGCTCTCCTGCGGAGAGAGCACCGGGGCGTTACAGCCAGGGCTGGGGCCCCTCTTGGCCCAGAGATACCTAGAGGCGCTGGACCCCCGGGGCCAGAGGCAGAGCGGGGAGGCCCCTGGCGCGAGGCTAGGCGCTCCAGCTCTGGAGTGAGAATGCCCTGGGTTCAAACCCAGCTCTGCCCCAAAATAGCTGGGGGACTGGAAGAGAGACAACTCAGGAGATGCTCAGTGAATACGTTTTCAGTGAATAAATGAGCAAATGAATGTCATGGGTAAGTCATTTTACCTCACCAAGTATCAGCTTCTCCATACTTAAAATGGGTATGGGTGTGGGGGTGGTCAATACGACTTGTTTCAAAGAATTGCTGTAAAGATCAGATGACTTCACGGGAAAGACTCAAGAGTGTGACAACAGTTGGTTTGGGGCTTTGGTTCTGTTGTTTGGTGACGTGTGTGTCACAGGAAAACAGGGACACAGAAGGGGACACCTGCGGCCCTGTCGCCTTGGCTGCCATGGGGTCCAGCCAGCGCCCTACAAGGTCACAGCTGATGACAAACAGGCTGAGCCCCCCACTCAGCTGCTGCGTCTGGCGGCAGCACCGTCCCCGGCCAGTCACCCCGGCCAGTCACCCCGGCGCTGCCCCGGCCGGCCCTCCTGCGAGATGTTTCCCGTGTGATGCTGAGGGCAGGCCCACGGTGCCAGCTGTGCCCTTCGGGGCCGAGCCAGCAGGCGAGGAGCAGAGGGCTGCATCGGGGCGTGGCCTCTGTGGGCAAGAACCGACTTCCAGAACAGCAGGCGCCCTGCCCAGAGGAAGGGTCCCAGCAGGCGCCCTCCCCACCCTCCCAGCCGTGGTCCTCCCATTCACCAACCAAGAGCCAAACTCCAGGTCTCCGTGTGACCTGGGACCACGGAGAGAGGCGGACATCCTGTCTCCTCTCACAGCCTCGTCCCCAAGGGCCTGAATCCCGATGGCCAGAGACCAGGAGCCTGAAGAGGCCCCGGCCCTTTCTCACGGCTGTCACAGCACGGTAGCTGTGACTTAGGTTCTGGGGAGAGAGACTCTGGGTCGAATCTTGGTTTGGCAAGGACGAGCTGCAATGACCGTGCCTCAGTTTCCTCCTCTGTAACAGGGACCCACATGTGCTGCAGGGGTCATGGTGATGACTGAATGGGATCATCTGCAGCATGACGCTGGGCACACAGTGGGCGCTCCCTCGACGCACGCAGGTCCCTGCTGGGAGGTCCTCTCTGGGCAGCTTCCCTGAGTGCCCATCGCAGAGAGCGGCCCAGGCTCTCCCCAACCCACTTTTCGTAGTGGTACCTGACATTGGTCGTTGACCCGACAGTCACAGGTGCCATCAGAAGGCACAAAGCAGACAAAAATCCCAGTGCCCTAAGAGATTCTGCTAGAGAGCCTGCCTGCGTGCTCCATGAGCACAGGGACTTCCCTTCGGGGCGTCAGCACACACCCAGGCCCAGCACAGCCGCCAGGAGCCGCTGCTGAGTACACGGATGAGTGGTGGTGGCTGCCGCGCCTCCTGCGAAGGCCAGCCTATGGCCGAGGGGAGGGCGTGTCTTCTGTGCACGGCCTGTGGCTTCTCAGTGTGGTCTCGGGAGGTGGCGCGGACAAGTCCTCCCAGACTGTCGCTGTGCCCGCACTTTGGGGTCCGGGTGCTTGGTGTGAGTCTCGGCTCAGTCACTGCAAGCTGACGGACAACGGCCCAGTGATTTTACTTGCCCTAACCTCGACCACCTCATCTGTGGACAGCGATGACACTGCAGCCCAGGTGACGGACAGAAGAAACTGGCAACGCCGGGTACAAAGCGACAGATGCACTCTTACAGAATCAGAAGCGAGACTCAGCGCAGGCAGGCGTTCCACGCTGGGCGTTTCTCCTCCTCTCTTTGGAGCTGTGTCTCGGGGTGGGGGTCAGTGCAACAGGTGACAGGCACAGCCCCCTAGGTTACACCACGGATCAGCTCAACACTTTCCCGCACCCACCCAGATGGGGAGCTCCTTCCCCAAGGGCTGAGCCATGTCCTGGGCGTCTGCCCTCAGGGCCCAGCAGCAAGCTTAGATCGTGTAAGGACCCAGGAAATGAAGCGTAAACAGTTGGGTACGGACCATCCCTTAAAACTGGCTGGTGTACAAGAGGCTGCTTTAAAAATGTCCCTGAATTAGGAGGAAGGTCCATCCACTAGGACCCCACCCCTGCTTCCTGGGTCCTCTGAGACCCTCTGGCTCTCCCAGAAGGTCTTGTCTGGGTTACCTTTCTGCACAGTTCTTGCTTCTCCATCAAGACTCTGCCATCCTCCAGAGGCACGACCCGCGACCAGGGTCTGTGCAGGGCCAACCACGCCATCCTGCCCCCCGGGGGCTTCCTGAGAGCGGGTGATCACGTGCTTCTCTGGGTTTGCAGTGGGACCAGCACCAGACATGGGCAGATGAGGGGCCCTGGAAGGGCCTTGAAATCCACGTGGAATTTCCATGAGCAAACACCTGACTCTCGATCCCCAAAGGCCATCATCATAACAATAACAAGCGTTTTTTTCCCCAGCTTGTCTTCCGTGTACCAGAAATGTCAGTGCTGACAATGCTGGGCTCTGGGTAGCTGCTGTCATGATCCGGGTTTTAGGGACAAGGCCACATGGCTGGTGAGTACCGAGGCGAGATTCCGACCCTGCCATCCGGTCCTAAGTACTGGTCCCTGCCTCACAGGCCCAGTGTGACGCTGAATTTTGGTGGCTACTTGACTGGACCAAGGGGTGCCCAGATATTTGGCCAAACATTATTTCTGGGTGTGTCTGTGACGCTGTTTCCAGGTGAGATTAGCATTGAAGCGGAGGACTCGGCTGAGGGCCCTCCCCAGTGCGGAGGTGTCATCCATCCACCCAGGGCCCACATCGACGGCCCGAGAGGCACAAAGTGCTCCCTCTGCCTGGTAGTTGAGCTGGGACGTCGGCCTTCTCCTCCCCTCGGACTGGAACTCACAGCACGGCCCCCCAGGTCTCAGGCCTTCGGACTCAGGCTGGACGCCAGCGGCTCCCCTGGGACTCCAGCTTGCAGACGGCAGACTGTGGGACTTGTGAGCCTCCAGAATCGCTGAGCCCATTCCTGATGATAAATCTTGGTGTGTGTGTATATATATATCTCACTTTGGAGAACCCTGACTAATGTGCCAAGGAAGCTGATGACCGGGGAGAGGCGGTGCGAAGGTCGGCCTGGGGACTGCCCCCTCCCTCTGGGGGCGGCACATCACTGAAAACTGTGGGCTGGTTCTCCAGCCGCTGCCCCGTGGCCCCTCCCCTCAAACAAGGGGGGCAGGTCTCCCTGCTGATGGGCACAGGGCCACCTGGGCAAAGCCTCTCCCTGCCTCCCCTGGAAGAAGGACCAGTCTCCCACAGGACCTGCTCCGGCCCCTCCAGCTGGGGAAGGAGAGAGGAGAGAGGTGGACGAGAGGCAGGTAGTCCTGCAGACTGAATGTCTGTGTCCCCCCGAAAAACAACGCCCGGGGTGATGGTGTTAGGAGCGGGGCCTCTGGGAGGTGCTTATCCCAGGATGGTGGAGCCCTCGTGAATGGGATTCGTGCCCTTATAAAAGAGACCCCGCAGAGCTTCCTCGCCCCTTCCCCCCTGTGGGGCACAGGGAGGGGTCTGCGACCCCAAAGAGGACCAGGAAAGCAGGCAGCAGGGGGCCCTGTTCCTCCCCTCGGCTTGCACAGGGCACCTGCTTCCTGTCACACGCCATCTGCGAGGTCAGGTATGGGGAGGCCGACTCCAAAGGGACCCAGCTGGCCTGCCGGGGAAGGACGCGGGCAGGGGAGGCCGGCCCAGCTGGCGGCACCGGGGGCAGCCACAGCTCCAGGCACAGCGGGCAGCCCGGTGCAGGGCCTCTCCTGGGGCTGTCTTCACCATGGAGACGAAGAGAGCTGCACGCTGGGGAGGCGACGGGAAGGGTGACTGGTGAAGACCACAGTGGGCTGTGGGGATGAAGCATCTAAATTCCAATTCCGTCCCTGACACTCAGGCCTCTCAGCTCCAGCTCAGAGGCAGCAGGCGAATGCGCTCAGGCCGCCAGCCGTCTGAAGAACCACTAAACCTTCATCAACGGTGAAGACTCGAGCTCAATGAACCTCCTCCTCTGCTTCCTCCCCCGGGTACACCTGAACCTTGCCCACAGCCCCGGTCACGTGGTGTCCTGTACTTGAGGAGCCATTTTCAACAGTTTTTCTGCCCTGCACACCAGCAGGTCCCACCCATCTCCCTGCAGACACAGCAGCTCACTAAGGCCCGCTCGGCTGGGCAGACAGACTGTCTGCTTTAAGTGTGGCACCCTCTTCAGCATGCCCACACCACAGATACCAGACAGGTATTTGCTGAACCAAACTCTTCAGTCATCTGACCATAAACTCCTATGCATCCCACAGTGCCCAACTCATGTCACCTCCTCTGTGAAGCCTTCCAAAACTCTCTCCCTGTAGGCAGAATGTCCTGGGGTCTTACTGGTGCTCCCCAGCTCTCTCTTCATGCTTTCACTATGGGTTAATATTAATAAGACACAGCAACATTTACTGAGCAGTTATTATGCACCGGGTGCCACGCTGAGTGCTCTGCCTTCATCATCTCATACGGTCTTCATCACAGCTCTGTACGGTCTGCACCATGACCACTGTTTTGCAGATGAGGAAACCAAGGCTCTGGAAGGTTGACGGAGATGCCCAAGGGCACGCACATGGGGATCTGGGATCTGAGATCTGGGATCTGAACCCAGGCCAGCTGGAAGCCAGCGTTCACACTGTCACCGACAGGGCCATCCTGTCCAGGCCTGCTTGTCCAGGAGGCATGGAGCCCCCCACCAGGGGCTGTGCAGTTCCCCTTGGTGCCCAGGCCTGGCCCACACAGCAGAGGCTTCCCCAAGGAGCACTGGTGACGTGAGCCGTGTGTCTGTGTTTTGGGATTTGAGGGGCAGACCCTGTCCTGGGCTGAGCAGGGGGATCTGCATGTGGGGGGAGGGGAGGGGAGAGGAAGGGGGAAGGGAGGGGAGAGGAGGGAGGAAGGGAGGGGAGAGGGGGAGGGGAGGGGGGAGGGGAGGGGGCCCGACCTTGCGGTGCTGCTCGTAGTTGCGGATGAAGTCTCGCAGCTGCTCCTCGCGGCTCTCCAGCGTGGCGTACAGCTGCTGCATCTGGCTCACCAGGTCCGTCTTCTCGCCCTTGAGGCGCTTCCGGTCGGCTTTCATGGCTGGGGACAGAAGAGTGGGTTAGTTCCCGAGACCCCAGCCGTATATCAGCCCCGAGTGCAGATAAGGGCCCCTCGTCTACCCTCTTTTTAACAGGTGAGGACACGGGTTCAGAAAGATGTGGTTTCTCTCCTGAGCGCCCCGTCACTCAAGGGCATTCCCAGAATTCGCGCCCGGGCCCGCCAGACCCTACAGCCTGGGTCTCATGTCTGTGCTCTTGATCCACCCAGGGAGCAAGGCTTGGACAAACGTCTTTCTCCGCCATGGACGGGCCAGGTCCCCCCGTGTGGAAGAGCTGGGGGCCTGGGGAGGGCCCGACCCCCATGGCCCAGGATGCGGAAGGGGCCCTGATTCTCTGCTGAAGCGAACTCGAGCGCCCACTGAGCCCAGAAACGGCTCAGCCCAGCATCTGCCCCATTTCTTCCTCAGGGTAAAGTGATGAAAAACACGCAGCAAGGTGGGACACCGGAAGTATGAGCAATGGGCCAGCCCGTGGCCAAGTGGTTAAAGTTCTCATGCTCCGCTTCAGTGGCCCAGGTTCATGGGTTTGGATCCCGGATGTAGACCTACACCACTCATCAGCCATACCCGGTGGCGTCCCACATATAAAGTGGAGGGATATGGACATGGATGTTAGCTCAGGGTTAATCTTCCTCAAGTAAAAAAAAAGAGGAAGATTGGCAACAGATCTTAGCTCAGGGTGAATCTTCCTCAGCAGAAAAAAAAAAAAAAAAGTATGAACAACAGAAGAAAAAATAGATAAATTGGACTTCATCAAAATTAAAAACTTCTGTGCTTCAAAGGATACCTTAGGAAAATAAAAAGACAACCCAGGGAATAGGAGAAAATATTTGCAAATCATAGATCTGATAATGGGCTTATATCTAGAATATACAAAAATTCCTACAACTCAATAATAAAAAGACAAATAACCCAATTAAAAGAATGGGCAAAGGATATGAACAGACATTTCTCCAAGAAATGGCCAATAAGCACGTGAAAAGGTACTTGACATCATCAATCATCAGAGAAACGCAAATCAAAACCCCAACGAGCTACCATGTCACACTCACCAGAACGGCCAAAATAAAAAGATGGACACGAACAAGTGTTGACACAGACGTGGAGGAACGGCAGCCCTCGCACACGGCTGATGGGAATGGACGGAAACAGTGCAGCTGCCGTGGCCAACAGCAGGACGGTTCCTTCAGCGATGTGATGGAAAGTCACCCCATGGTCCAGCAATCCCACCCCCAGGCACATCCCCGAGAGAAACGAAAACACACGTCCACGTTTGTGCACAAATGTTCACAGCAGCCCAAAGGGGGAACCCCCAAACGGCCACGCTGACAAGTGGGTTGAGAGGGGGGCACACCCACGCCACGGAGCATATTCGAAGAGAAGCACTGCCCTGTGCTGCAGCGTGGACGGACCTTGGGGACCTTACAGGGAGTGAAAGAGGCCAGTGACGAAAGGCCAAATGTTGTATGATCCCATCTACACGGAACGTCCACAGGAAGCAGATGAGGGGCTGCCTCAGGCTGGGCGCGGCAGAGGGTGGGGGCTGGGATGTGGGGGTGCTCGCCAAGGTGTGGTGATGAAACATAACGCTGAACGTGGTGACAGACATACAGCTCTGTGCATACGATGGGAACCGCTGAATTGGAAGTGGGCAGACTGTGTGATTCGTGAATTCTCTCTCCACACAGCTGCTCTCACGCACACGGCGCCCCACACCCCCGGCAGCCTCCTGGTATGGCTGGGTAAGTTCTGCTCCCTCCGGACCCTCCCTCCTCACAGCACTGGCTCTTTGGCAAATGGAACGGCCTTGCTCAGGGCAGGCTCTGGCTGCAGGGTGGGCTCCCCTGCCTTTTTCCAGAGCCCCCAGAACTCTGGCTCCTCCCTGGAGAGAACACCAGGGAGGGAATTGTGGAGAATGTGGGGAGAGGGGCAAAGCAACTCCTTGGCTCCAGAAGCTTCCAGCCCAAGAAGGCAGAGACTAGTTATGTCATTTGCCCAAAGTCGCACAGCTGTGTCTGACCCCAAAGCCCACACATTTGCCCCTACATTTCGCTGCCTCTACGGTGGAAGGCCCCAAAGCCTGGAGGGTCCTGGCCCCACGGCTAGCTGAGGGCAGTGAGAAGGGGCAGGCCCAGCTGTGCCACCTCATCTCGATGTCCAACCCTCCAAACTCAGCCTGTGAATATGAAAGAGTCTGAGCTGCTGAGCTCCTGGCCCAGGGCCCAACATAAGCTGACGTCCCTCTGGCCCTGCAGGGGCCTCTTCCTCCTCCTGCCCTTTGCCTCTGTCCCTCGGGTAGAACAGGGTGGAGGCAGGTCGGCTGGGGCCATGTCATCACGTGCAGGGAGCCACGGGGGACCCATGCAGGGGGATGCTGGGTCTTAGCCAGCCCTCTAAATTCCAGCTCTGGGCTTCCCGGCTCCACAGCTGGACTTGTCCCCTTCATGGCAGCTGGGGCAGCAGCAACTCGGGTCACCACGGCCGGAACTGCAGGCCTGCCGAGCCGGGACCTTGAGGGCCAGGATGTCCTGGCAGAGCTGCAGAGAGGACTCATTCTCCCTCCTCTCAGGCAGGGGTGGCCCCACCAGGCCCCAGGGGAGGGGAGGGCAGAGCTGGGCTGGTTCTGTGTCATGTACCTGACCATGGTGTGGCCACATTACTGGTGAACCTCATCTTAAGAAAACGCAACATCTAGTGGCTGGCCCCGTGGCCGAGTGGTTAAGTTCGTGCGCTCTGCTGCAGGCAGCCCAGTGTCTCATTGGTTCGAATTCTGGACACGGACATGGCACTGCTCATCAGGCCATGCTGAGGCGGTGTCCCACACGCCACAACCAGAAGGACCCACAACGAAGAATATACAACTATGTACAGGGGGGCTTTGGGGAGAAAAAGGAAAAAAAGAAAATCTTTAAGAAAAAGAAAAAAAGCAAATACAACATCTAAAGACGTCACTGGCTCAGAAGGAATCTTATGGAGGAGCAGGGGGATGGGACCCGCTGCACCTGTGACGGGTGGGGGTTCATCATCCGGTTTCACAGAGGAGGGAACTCAGGCCAGTAAGTGGCAGGGCACCTGCCTCAGGCTTAGGCACACGTCAGGCCGGCGGGGCGTGAGAACCAGAGGGGAGCCCTGTAGATGGGAGCAGCTCCTGGTGGGGCTGCTGACCCAAAAAAGCTACCGCTGTGGCTTCCCAGGGGAGCCTCGGGCAGACCTCCGCCCCAGTGCGTGTGTGCGTGTGTGGGGTCACGTCTCTGCCATTTGGTTGGAAGTTAACCCCCGGTGGGCTCCGATTTGCCTCCTCCTTTAGCCCCTCTGAATGAGAATCAAACTCCAGACTTTGGTCTCGGTGTCTGGAGGCTCTGGGAGGGCGACCACCCCCTTCTCTGTCGCACTGACCCCTTCTCCGTTGCATCCCTGGTCCTTTCTTCGCTTTTGGCACGTGCCCTTGGAGTGGGGTGACGCACCCTCTTGCTGGCCTCCATGGATCCTCACTGCTCCATCCTTGCACCATCCACGTGTGTGCTGGAGAAGCTGCGTGTGCCGCTGTCCCGTCCATCAGTGCAGGGCTGTGTGTACATGTGTGCACATCTGTGTTGGCAGCCGTGGTGGTGGGGCAGGGGGCTATGCCTCCCCCATCTGACTGGGGCTCCCTGAGAGCAAGTGCTGGCCCTCTGCCTTCAGATTAGCAGCTCCTCCCTAAGATGGGACCGAGAGCTCCCCCAGACTGTGGGATGAAGCCCCTCCTGTGAGCCAGGCTCCATGCTCGCTGCTGTGAGGGAGACAGGGACGAACGAGACATGGTCCTCACCTTTTGGTGGCTGACGATCTGATGGAGGAGACAAACCCACATGCACATGGATGACACTAGTCTCCACCCACCCTCCTTCTTACCAAGAGAACCCCATTTTGTCAGGTCGGCTAAAACACTCAACTTCCCAAGCTCCCTTGCAGCTGGAGGAGGCATGTGCCACAGTTCTGGCCACTAAGATGTACACAGAAGTCTATTGAGAAATCCACTGTTTTCTTCATGGAAAATGGTCACAGTACGCTGGCAGTAACTCTTGCCTTTTGCCCGTCCATTTTCTTTCTGCCAGGAACATGGATGTGACATCCTGAGGCACAGCAGCTGTCTTGCGAGCACAAGGACAAAGACACAAGCTGAAAATGGGGGGCAGACAGACAGAAGGGGCCTGGCCCTCGATGGCACCACCCAGGCCAGGGTTCCTCATAAGAGGAGAAAAATAAACCCCACTCTCCATGGGATTTCCCGTTAGGTACAGCCCAACACATCCCTAACTGACACAGCCAGGCAAGTGGTGAGGAGTGCTATCACCTCCCCACATGAGGCTGCATTCCTGGTTCCTACACACGAGCTCCCTGTGGGGGGGGTCCCTGCCCTGCCCACCGCTGGGCTGGATGCTGCCAGGCAGACGACCTGGAAAGCTGAATCTCTGAGAACGAACGCCATGTGCAGGTCACTCAGGAAGGAGAAGCCCTTTTTATTTATTTATTTATTTATTTTTTAAAGATTTTCTTTTTTTCCTTTTTCTCCCCAAAGCCCCCCGGTACATAGTTGTATATTCTTCGTTGTGGGTCCTTCTAGTTGTGGCATGTGGGACGCTGCCTCAGCGTGGTTTGATGAGCAGTGCCATGTCCACGCCCAGGATTTGAACCAATGAAACACTGGGCCGCCTACAGCGGAGCGTGCGAACTTAACCACTCGGCCACGGGGCCAGCCCCAGGAGAAGCCCTTTTGAACCACCATGTGAAAGAAGCCGTCGCGGGGTGCTCGGCCCAGGTTTTCAGAAGCAAACGCGCCCCCAACCCGCTCCACAAAACGCACACGGAGGAATGGGACCGGGGACTCCTGCACCTGCTGGAGGTGAGACATGGGGGTGCCCATTGAGCCTGAGCGTTCCCGAGGGTCCAGGCGCCGTGTCACCAGACGGGGGCTCCCTGAAGGGCGGGGGTCACACTGTGA